TACACCTAACCAACAATCATGAAAACGTAATTTCACGCCCTGTAGTGTGGCTCGGTTAGGTGTCATTCACCTAACTTTGTGGTTCAGTTCCCGGTCAGGCACATGCCCAGGGTGTGGCTCAATCCCTGGTAAGGGATGTGCAAGAAGCAGCCAATCCATGTTTCGATCTGACATCGATGTCTCTCTTTCTCCTTTCCTTTCTCTCTAAACATCAATTTAAAAATATTAAAAACAACAATATAATCTCACTAGTAACTACGTGAGACATGGTCATATGGGCACACAAACACATGGAGGATTTTCTATGCAACACTGTGTCTTAACAGTGAAAAACTGTAAGCAATGTACGGAATCTCACATACTACGGAATCTTCACATACTAGGGAATTTACAAAGTTGAAAGAATAAGGTAGATCTCTACATAATGACAAAGAACAAGTTCTAAGACCAATTTTTAAGCACAAAAAGTCAAGTTGCTGAGTAGGTACAATACATCATATTTGTAAAATATACATTTGTGAAAGTTTAACACAAATATATTTTATATGTGCAAACACCTGTCCATATATATAAAGAAAAAGAAATAGAAAAGCACACCCCAAACAGTTCTTCCTTTTGGGCAAGCGACTAAAGAAGAAAAAAATGGAAATGGAAAGACACAGGTCAAAGAGCATCTATCTTGTTTTTAAAATTTCATCAGTGTTTCACAAGACTGTATGCACGGACTACAACTAAAATAAATATAGAAGAGTAAGTGCATTAGTGCCCTGGCTGGGGAGCTCAGTGGTTACAGCATCGCTGGCCCAGGCTGCCTTTTCCATCCCTGGTCAGGGAACATACAAGAGTCAACCGGTGAACGCATAAATTAGTGGACCAACAAATCTGTGTTCCTCTCTCTCTTTCTCTAAAATCAATTTTTCACAAAAGGACATTATTAAAACAAGGTCAACTTGACCAAAATTAATCCTTCCTCCTCCATATTAAACCTCCTTTCTCCCGCAATTCTGATAATGAACAAAACCTTTCGGTGCCGTTCCTTCCGTCCTTACAACTAAAACAGGCGATATAATTAATATGGTGTTTAATAAAAGAGTTCGTCTGTGTCCAATGGTACGTCAAAAGCTTATAAAGGTTTGGGTTTGTTTACGTCTTAATGAGCAGGTATCAATTTTGTAACAAATGCTCATTAACGATCTATCCCAGGGATGCGAAAAAAACAAACAGGTGTCGCCCCAGTCAGGCCCGAAGCGGCGGGCGTGGCCTGGGCGGAAAGGGGTGGTGACCGCGGGGGGCGGGGGCGGGTCCCCACGAATCGCGCGAGGGAACTGCGACTGGACGCGCGGAACACGCAGCGCCGAGGAGTTGCCAGGTGCTGCAGATGGCGCTTCCTTTTCACTGGTCAAGAGCCATGACGGTGTGGTGGGTGCTTCTGAAGAGAAAAGGGGGTGCGAGGGGGTTTCCCTGCGAGGGCGTGGGGGGCCCGTGCGCTTGGTGCGAGGAAGCCGCGCCGTGGGGCGGGGAGAGGGGCAGGGCCAAGTCGCTCTGGGACGGCAGGGTCCCCGCAAGTAGTCGCCCCCACACACGGTGACATCATCAGCTCCACGACCCCTCTCCTCCATCCGCGCTGGAAACCCCCTCCGCCCCTCGCACAGGCCGGGTGAAGGGCCTCGCGGGCCGCGGACCCCCACTTACCTGTGGCCCGGATCCCACCCGCACACCTGCGGCGCCTCACGCTGAGGAGCTGGAACCTCCGCGGCCACCTGCGCGCACCCACCCGGATCCACTAGGGCCGAAACCACTTCCGGTCCTGCGACGGGCTCGGGGGGACGTCATCCCCGCCGGGGTGAGCAAGTGGGCGGCGCCATCTTGTACGGAAGCTGCTGGGGCAGCGGTTGCCGTACCAGTTTCTTCACTGGGGAACAAAGGGTCGGTTACAATTCGAAAAGCTTATAACGACTCTTGAGAAACATGGTGTTTTCTTTTTGTTTCCAGGGTGAAATTTTTTTTCTGGAACCCTCACAAATGCCATAGAGAAACATCTAATTATCATTACTAATTAGCTCCAGGAGTGTTTTTCTGCTGCATTAATTTACTTAACTGTTAAATAATGAAGGTAAATAGGAGGGACACTTGTTTAAATAATGTATTACTCATTAGCAGTGTATTTTGTACTATAGCCATTATAATAATTTATGCCTTCTTTTATATCAACCACAATACCTTCCGTTTATATTGAAAATAGTTCACTCAACCAGTCTTTATCAGCAATAAAGTATGTGCTGCAGCTGGTGTGTGCTGTGTCAGAGAATGTGTAAATCAGAAGGAGAAATGAGGTGTGCATAAACAATATAAAGTATACTAATAGCTGCCATTGGTTGCGTATGTAATCACAGTGTGCTAGGAACTTTGCATATTTTATCTCACATAATCTTCATAATAACCTAGTAAAGCAGTACTGTTTTTAGTGCCATTTTGCATAAAATTAAGAAGGTTAAGTAAATTTCTCAAGGCAACAAGTGAGCATTGGAGCTGGGCATCAAACCTCAGTGCGTCTGAGTGCAAAGCTTGTTGCCCTCGGCCGCTGCGGTCCATCCCCTCCTGCACAGGAAGAAGGCTCTAAGTTCCATTAGATACGTAACCATAAAGGGGAAATTTCTGGCAGATGTAGGGGATTAACTCCCTCGTTTTAAAGAGTAAATGCAAATAATTAAAACCACAATGAGACACCATTACATACTCACCAGAAAGCCTAAAATGAAAAAAAAAAAAAAATCACAGTATAGATCAAGTATTGGCAAGCTTGTGGGGCAACTGGGACTGTAATATGCTGCTGAAGGGAACATAAATTGGCACAATCCCTTTGTTGAAATATTTGGCAGTGTCAGCTAAAGCTGAATAAATGCAAGCCCTTGTCCCCACAGTTTCACTCCTAGGTATGTACTCAACAGAAAAGTGTCCATATGTTCAGTAAAAGAACATGTATAAAAAAGGTCACACCCATACTTTGTACTAATCCTAAACTGGAAACACCCAAATAGCCCTGCTGTTAGAAGTCAAAGTGGTCATTAGCCTTGGTGGAGCAATGACTGGAGGAGAACATGGGAGGTTCATGAAGTGCTGGCAGTGTTCTATTACTTAGTCTGAATGCTGGTTTACATGTATTTCAGGAGGCATATTTGTGGTCACTTTTCTGAATGCATATATACTTCAATAAAAAAATGTTGCCCTAACCAGTTTGGCTCAGTGGATAGAGCATCAGCCTGCGGACTCAAGGGTCCCAGGTTCGATTCCGGTCAAGGGCATGTACCTTGGTTGCGGGCACATCCCCAGTAGGGAGTGTGCAGGAGGCAGCTGATTGATGTTTCTCTCTCATCGATGTTTCTAACTCTCTATCCCTCTCCCTTCCTCTCTGTAAAAAATAAATAAAATATATATATTTTTAAAAATGTTAATGCCCTGGTCAGGTGACTCAGTTGGAGCGTCGTCCCATATACCAAAAAGTTGTAGGTTCTATCCCCAGTCAGGGCACATACCTAGGTTGCAGCCCCGATCCCTGGTGTTTCTCACTCTTGTTGATGATTCTGTTTCTCTCCCTCTCCCTCTCCCTCTCTCTGCCTCTCTCTAAAATCAGGTGTGGGGAACCTTTTTTCTGCCAAGGGCCCATTTGGATATTTATAACATCACTAGAGGCCCAGTGCATGAAATTCATGCATGGGTAGAGTACCTAGGCCTGGCTGGTGATCAGGGCTGATCAGGGCCATCCAGCTGCCGGCTGGGGCCTTCCTTCATTCCACGCCGCCCCCTGGTGGTCAGCATATGTCATAGGAAGTGATCGGTCTTCCCGTCCAACTCCCACAGGGACAATTTGCAAAGGCTTATATATATATATAGATTTGCGTGCCATACAAAAATATCTATTTAAAAATTAGCCTGCTGTATTTGGTCAAACATTTAATTAACTCACCCTTAATGCCTTGGCAGGGCCAGACCAAATGATTTCATGGGCCTTATACAGCCTGCAGGCCAGACATTCCAAACCCCTGTTGTAAATCAGTAAAAACATATCCTTGTGTGAGGATTTTTTTTAAATACTAAAACAAGTGTTTAATGAAATTAAAGGAGTGTCAAGTTTATAAAACCGATGGGGAAAAAGATCAGGAGAGAAGATGATAGCAGCAAACAAATGCCAATATAATTGTAGAAGATAGATTAGAATGGCAAAATATTGACGTGTGAGGGATCCCATAATGAACTGTCTGGGTCCATAAGCAATCATCCTACATTGAAAACCCAGTCAACAAGGCTCATCTGTGCATAAAGAATTTCCAATCAGCTTTTTAATACTTCACTCTTTGTCTTAGTCCATTTAGGCTTTTATAACAAAATACCATTGACTAAGTGGCTTATAAACAACAGAAGTTGGCTTATAAACAGAAGTTTATTTCTTACAGTTCTGGAGGCTAGGAAGTCCATGATCAAGGTGCCAACAGGTTTATTGCCTGGTAAGTGGCTGCCTCCTGGTTTATAGACATCTGTCTTTTTCATTGTGTCCTCACTTGGCCAAAAGAGTCGTGAACTCTGTTGGGCCTCTTTTATAAGGCGCTAATCCCATTCATAAGGGCTCCACCCTCATGACTTAATCACCTCCCAAAGCCCCTGCCTTATGATACCATTATATTGGAGTTAGTTTACAACATATGAATTTTGAGAGGACATAAAACATTCAGTGTATAGCACCCTTAAATATGAAGATACCCAAGAATTATCAGTCATTGCAGGAATGCCTTCAATACTATTAACATTTTCTTTTTTAAAAATTATTTATTTATTTTAATACATTTTATTGATTTTACAGAGAGGAAGGGAGAAGAATAGAGAGTTAAAAACTTTGATGAGAGAGAAACATCACGCCCCTTACTGGGAATCGAGTTGCAACCAAGGTACATGCTTTTGACCAGAATCAAACCCGGGACCCTTCAGTCCGAAGGCCAACACTCTATCCACTGAGCCAAACCAGCTAGCGCTATTAACATTTTCGAAGGAACATATATAGATCTCCACCCAGCATTTTGAGATCACAGCTATTTTTCAAACATACCAGGAAGATTTAAGAAAATTAATTTTTATTTAGGCCATTGTGCAACTTCCTACAAATTGGGGGGGAAATGCTATCATACAGATCTCATTCTCTAACCATATTAAAATTAAGTTAGAAATCAATAATAAAGTTATTATTTTTAGAACTCCATATAATTGGAGATTTAAAAAAAAACAACTGAAAGATCAAAGAAGAAATCTCAATGGAAATTTATATTAGATTTGAGAGGTAATAAAAATACTATATATGTGAGATTTATAGGTATAAGTAAATTAATAATCTATGATTTGTTATCCAGACTATACAAAGAACTTTTGGAAACTCAACAACCCAATTAAAAATGAATGCCCTGACCAGTTTGGCTCGGTGGATAGAGCATCGGCCTGCGGACTGAAAGGTCCTAGGTTCGATTCCGGTCAAGGGTATGTACCTTGGTTGCGAGCACATCCCCAGTAGGGGGTGTGCAGGAGGCAGCTGATCAATGTTTCTCTCTCATCGATGTTTCTAACTCTCTATCCCTCTCCCTTCCTCTCTGTAAAAAATCAATAAAATATATTTTTTTAAAAAAATGAATGAGAGACCTGAATAGACACTTCACCAAAAAAGATATGTGATATCCAAATAAGCACATGGAAAGATGTTCAACATTACATGTTATTAGGGAATTGCAAATTAAAACAACAATGAGATCAGAATTTCACTAAAGTAACTAAATCCTATTAGAATAGTGAAAATCTGCCCTAATCGGTTTGGCTCAGTGGATAGAGCGTTGGCCTGCGGACTGAAAGGTCCCAGGCTCAATTCCGGTCAAGGGCATGTACCTTGGTTTCGGGCACATCCCCAGGAGGAGGTGTGCGGGAGGCAGCTGATTGACGTTTCTCTCTCATCAATGTTTCTGACTCTCTATCTCTCTCCCTTTCTCTCTGTAAAAAATCAATAAAATATATATATTTTTAAAAATAGTGAAAATCTAAACACTGACAACACCAAATGCTAAGGATATGGAGCAACAGGAACACTCATTCATTGCTTGTGGGAATGCAAAATGGTAGTCACTTCTGAAGATATTTTGTCAGTTTCATACAAAATTAAATATAGTTTTACCATACAACCCAGCAATCATGCTCCTATATATTCACTCAAATGAGTTGAAAACAACAACCTACACACAAATGTTTAAAGCAGCTTCAGTCATAAATTGAAAGTAACCAAGATGTCCTTCAATAGATGAATGGATAATCAAACTTTAGTACATCCATACAATGGAATATTATTCAGTGACTAGAGGCCCAATTCACGAAATTCGTGCAAGGGACTCGGCCCCCTGCGGCTGCTGCCTTAGCCCCTGCCACTGAGGCTTCATCCGGAAGATCGTCCAGTCTAATTAGCAATTACACTTTTATTACTATACATAAGATAATGAGCTATTAAGCCACAGTAAGACATGGAGGAAACTTAAATGCATATTGCTAAGTCAGTGGTTCTCAACCTTCTGGGCCTTTAAATACAGTTCCTCATGTTGTGACCCAACCATAAAATTATTTTCATTGCTACTTCATAACTGTAATGTTGCTACTGTTATGAATCGTAATGTAAATATCTGATATGCAGGATGGTCTTAGGCGACCCCTGTGAAAGGGTCGTTCGACCGCCAAAGGGGTCGAGACCCACGGGTTGAGAACTGCTGTGCTAAGTGAAAGAAACCAGTCTGAGAAGGGTATAGTGTATGATTCCAACTATATGACATTCTGGAAAAGGGAAAAGTATGGTGACAGTGAAAAGATCATTGGGCCCTGATCAGTGTGGCTCAGTTGGTTGGGTGTCATCCCATGCACTGAAAGGTTGCCAGTTCAAATCCCTGTCAAGGCACATGCCCAGGTTTCAGTTAGATCCCTGTGTTGGGGGGGTGTGCAGGAAGCAGCCAGTCTCACACCAATGCATCTCTCTCTCTCTCTCTCTCTCTCTCTCTCTCTCTCTCCTCTCTCCCTCCCTCCCTCCCTCCCCCTTTTCTTTCCTCTCTCTCTCTCTCTTTAAAAAAAATCAATAAAAAACTTTTACAAAAAAATTGTCTTTCTCTTT